TTAAACTTAAAAAAAAAAAAAAAAAACAAACAAGCAAGCAAACATGCATGCTCAGCAGACAGCTTACACACCAACTTCCTCAATATGAGAAACCATTTTCCAAACAAAAGCCCTTCCGTCATGTAAGCCCTTCCTCTTTCAGTGAAACACATTCCACCTAGAAACACATTTCAGGGCTTTGCTATAAACAGCCACTCTCATTTCTGTATGAGTGGATACAAATGTTCCATTCAAAACAGAATTTAATTTATATTGATTGAATTCTGTCTTTTTTCAGGTAAATACCTGGATCTCTTTCATACTCAGAGACATATGAAAGAATAATTGCAATTCATTGAAAAAAAATTATGAAGAAGCACGAATAGCTGTGAACAGCAAAGGTAGAAGTGAAGTAACTAGGTTTTAAAGGGGTCTTCTATCTAGAGAAAGTTAAGGTTTTTCTTTCTTCCCTGTTTTTGGTTTAAAGGAACATTCTCTTACCATTTGTCTGGTTTGTCCGTGGTTAGGCAGACCTAACAAACAGGAAAGAGAATAGAGCTGGTAAGACCATTGCTTTTCCAAGACAGAAAGAAAAAATACAAAAATCAAAACACACACACCTATGGTTGCAACTGGGTTGGTTTTCTAAAACAGAAGGTTTTCTACCTAATCTCTCCCATCCTAAGGGATACCTGAGAAGACAGCTTCCTTAGCAATATGATCAAAGTCATATGAACAATATGCAGAGCCAAAAAAATTAAACATGCTCCATTTACTTATAACTTTCTGACCAGTTATGGGAAACTACAACCACATAATATCCCCTCTTTCAGATGTAAAGACCTTTTTCTCCAATGCTAGGTAAAATCCTGATTTTCACATTTTGGTAGATTTAGTTCAATTAAAAAGAAGGGCATTACATGGCCAAGAAAGCAAAAAACAAAACAAACAAAAAAAAAACCCTTTACTATCATCCTGAGATTTTCAGACAACTAATCAGTTTGGATGTTAGCTACTGGATGCACAATTGGATTGTATCTACCAAACTACTCAGTACATGAGAACCTGCCACAAGTAAAGACTTCCAAGAACTTAGCACTGACAATCACAGTGCACAGCATATCTACCCATCACACAAAGTGGATGCTACGTTAACACAAGCAGTACTGGAAAGCAACACACACAGTGACCTGACATTCCTAGACTACCATTTACTATATTAGATACCTCACCATATTGCAAAAGGTCCATGTTTTAGGTGCAGAGCAAGTCTATAAACTAAACCTGGCATTTAAATAAATGGCAAAGATGCAGTTTTTATATGCAAGAGAATGAAGTTCTGTTCTAAAGCTACAAAGATATGGCAGGAATGAACTGGAGAACTCAAACTTTTTCCATCACCATGTTTTCTTCAGTTGTTTTCATTTATTATCCAGGTCCAATCTGTCAAATTGGACAAATTCTTTGAGGAAAGGGAAATCAGTAGTTATAGGTATAGCCTCCAAATCAGAACTTCTTAGACCCTAAATGCTGGTGGCTGCCAGTGGCAGAGGAACACTGGACAAAACCCTGCTCAGTATCCGCTCTGCCACTGCATGACACAGGACACTGAGCAAGATGGTCCTATGGTCTGACCCAGTAAATGGCAGTTCTTATGTTATTTTGCTCTTATGCATGTAGGTCTGTTAATCTGCCCCAACATTTCAAATTGTGTTTTAGAAATTTCAGTGCCTTAGAGTGTCACAAGGCCCTTCCTGGCCCAGAACTGACTTGTACTAGTACTAACACAGTGGAAGTTTACTATAGCGGGCATTCACCACCATTGGGATTGGCTGCAGAAAGTCAATATATCCCTGCTTTCACACATTTTTAACACCTTAACATTTATCCCTTTGGCCTGTTTTCCCCGTGTTTGGTCTCTGGCCAAGGATGAATTGATTTTAAAAAGAAAGTGAGCAAAATCTCTGTTTTTTGGGGGGGGGTTTTAAAGAAAATTCAGTTAAAAAAAAAAAGTGAACCCTCAAGACCCTTCCTGCCCCCACAGTTTCTATGCTAGAAGATTCTATCCACACTTTTCAAAAAAAGAGCGTGCAAGAAAAAAAAAGGGCTTAAGTTAAAACTCTCCTTGGTAAATACAAACTCTAACATACTCAAAGTATGTTATAAAACTTGCAGAATGAGGGCAAGTTAATGTTCCAATGGAAGAAAATACTAATTTTGAGTGCTCAACTATAATACTGCTTTAAAGCCAGCAGTTTGCATCATATGTGATAACCTTTCTACAGAAGGACAGATATAATAAGTGGGTACCCAACATAGGAAGATAAATATGAACAGCTTAAATTTTCTGATGTTTTAATGCTCAAATATGCACAGAGCTAGACAAAAGCAATCACCAGAAAGAGGGAGATGTCAGTCCCTACGGAATTGACGCACTCAAAGTTAAAGGAAGCTAGGTAGTGGAACTGATTAGGCAATGTAAATCTCAAGATAATGAACCTACAAGTTTTAATGTAGGAGCAGCTGTCCCATTCAAAAAAGACAGTAGCAGGAACAGCCACGTGGTGTGAACAGAATTGAACACATGTTGGGAGGCTACCCATTCATTAGGGATGGACCTAGGATAGAAACTTAGGAGACTGATGTTTTAGTCATTGAACTGTAATTTTATCCATTGTCTATCAGTGGGCAAAGTCATTTAATCACCCCAAACTTCTGTTTCACCATCTGTAAAATGAGGATGGTACCTTCTTTTTCCTCACCAGGTTACTGAGCACTATAAATATTTAATGTTGTGAAACAGCCCAAGATTCTGAGAGGGAAGGCACAGATACGCTCTAAATTTACCCCTGCAACATTCACTGTGCTGAGAATAAAAGATGACAGGTTCACAGGAGCAGACAGTGCCCAAGGAGATTCCAGATTCAGAAGAGATGGGTACTGGCACTATGAATGTTGGATGGAAATAGGCATTAGCGAAGTTATTCACAGTTCCCAAATGAATATTAAATTTAGATAGTCTGTATTGAGAGGGGATGAATGCCAGATAATGAGACTGGCACAAAGGCTGAGGTGAAGGTCAAACCAGAACCACTACTGGTCTGACACCTTGTTCCTGTGAACAGCAAAGAAATTACTAATTGTCCAACATGATTTATCAGTAAGCTGCTCCTTCTAGGAGAAAATGATTCACTTCCTTGTTCCTCTGATACAGCTATCAGCACTACATAATTGGATGACATTTTTCAAAGCCATTTTATATTCTTGCTATAACACAAGGTCTTATCTACAGTGGGCAATACATTAATCCTAACTATTTCAGATGGTTCCCTTTACACATATTTATACACCTGAAAAGTAGGAGGGAAAAGAGAATACAAAAAGTAACCACTTAAAAAATTAGTTTTACATTGCGGTAGAAAATCATTATATTTGATATAATTTCTCAGAAACAATGGCTGTTGTTAAAAAATAAACTCATAACAATATTTAACACTAATTCATCTGACAGTACGAGAAATATAGCACCACATCTATATCCTATTCCAAGTCTACAGTCAGATCTGCTGTACTCGGTCCTAAAAGTGACAGATACCTAGCTTGAACCTGTGACCTCTTACTAGGAATTTCTCCTTAACATGGTAAAAGTACACATCACAAGTATTCTGAGTCCTGAACCATCCAGAGACCCGAGTAAGGAATGATATTAACTTGGAGACACCACCGTGTGACACTTGATCCCTCCCGAGTTGGTTGTTCAATTTTTCATGTACTGAAAACAGAATGAAATAAGCTTATCTCCCAAACCCTCCCCATCCACATAGACCAAAAGTGTAAGGAAGTGTCTACGTAAATACTAGGAATAAAAACCCTAACAGGCCCTGTCTTCTCTTTTGCAACCACTACATTAGATGGGGACTTTTTCCTCTAATGCTGTCTCAAAGGATTCCCTGGTGAGATCTACAGAAGGGAGAGTGAACAACGCTTTGGATGATCTCTAAAAACCCAGCTGACTGACATTACAATCAATCTGAAAACAAGAGGCTGACTGTTCCTATACATCACCTCCAAGAGTAGTGCTTTAAAGGAATAGTTAAGGATGAATCTGAGGGAGGGGAAGAAGGCCTCTGATGACAAATCTTCTCTGACTAACCAGATCTTCACTTTTCATTCATGAAAGCTAAGAGCTGCAGAAACCAGGATACGTTCTGAAATCTCAAAAGATTAGGATTTCTTTCCTCAGAACACTAGGAAAAACCATAGCCTTAGAGAAGGGTCTGTTGTCAATTAGTTTTCCCTAAAGTCTTCTAGTTAGAGATATCTCTAAGGCAGGAGCTTCAAAGGTTATGTTACATCCAGAACTTACGATTGTACCATTGTAAATATAGATTTTACCAGAACATTGAAGGCTCACAGAAATGGCTACAGATCAAGTAGCCATATTAGAGATGTTGCATAAAGGACTGCAAAGTACATCTGAGCTCCTAAATTTTGGAAAGGCCTTCGAATTTTCAGTCCTTAGCACAAGACCCTTTATGGAAAAGAACTCGCTTTACAGGGAATAGCCATATCAAGTTATAATGATCTGATGCTTAAACATTCTTATAGTATCAGAGCTGCAGAAAAACATACTCTCTCCCAAGATGATCAGTGGGGGAACTGTAGCTGGTAGCAGAAATGGGACAGAAAGGAGCTCCTACTACATGCAGCCAAAGTACATTTCTCTTCAATTTGTTCCAAAGAGACAAAGCTTCGATTGGATATCTGGATTAACAAGCACACATGCATTCACAGTGCCCCTTCTACAGAGGACCAAGGGATTCAAGGGACACACAAACCTGGATCTCTCCTCCACTGTACTGCAGCTGAGAGTTCATATAGGAATTAAAAGTGGAGTGCAAGCAGCTTGCTGTTGGGCCTAAAGGAACAGCTGGCATTTAAGACTGCAGAGTGAGAATCTAGCTTCCTGTACGTAACAAAAAAAAAAAACTGGTAATATAATCCGTTCCTACAGGAACTGGAGAAAAGCCCTATGCACATGCTATCTGACAAAATTCCTACTTGTAAGGATTTCAGTAGGTCCACCCTCAAACTTTAGTGGTAGCACCACAGCTGTCCCCTACACTACCTACTCTCACTACTGAAGTGTGATCTTATTCCTTACCATCTCCACAAAACGCAGCGCTGTGGGAAAGCCAGCCTCCCCCTTCCGTCTCTGATATACCCAGTCACATCTAGAAGGAATAAGGGAATCTACCAGCAAATGACTATGGCAAATATCAGGAAGCGGCTGTCAGCTACTTTGCTATTTTAAATAGAAATCTGGAATTCACTTCTGTACCTCCCTTCTGATCTTTTCTTTGGATCAAGTTTACCTTAGCTGTACACCTTCACCTGCATTTTCTTGGAGAAGCTCTTAGAACTCCCCTCAAGCAACCTCTGACACAATACCAATGAGCACCACAGTCTGACACCTAACTCTGGGAAAGCCTTGGGATGGTGTAAACTTTTAATCCCTGCTCCCCTTTACATATCCACAGTGCACAAAAAATGATTCCTTGAAGTACACATTTGTCTTGTGTAAGCCTAAATCATTTTTATAACAAATCAAGGTAACAAGCAATTATATACAGTTTTTTTTAAACTTCACTTTATTGTATTATGTAAACACATGCAATGCATTTAATTGTAATGTACCTAGAAAGCTAAAATATACAGTCATGGCTAGTAGATTTAAAATCTAAACTACATTTTAAAATGCATACTTGTCTTTTAAGTCTGTGTAATCTTACATTTGTTTCCACCCCTGCTCTGAAAACAACTGCCCCTTCAAATCTCAGCAACAGTACACTTCTGAGCAAGCCATAACAAACCAGCATGCAAAAGGAAGAGTAAGAATTTCAGCAAAGAAACAAACTGTACTTCCAAATGACTGAATTTCAAGTTCACTTGAGTGAATGAGACAGAGAGAGAGGGAGAGACAGAGAGAGAATGCACAACCACTTTTCATACATAATGAAAGTTATATCCATGTCCTTTTTTTAAGCTGCCAAGACCTTGTTGTTGTAACTGAGCAGGCTGTCAGATGTCACCATCTTAAAACTGGAGAGCGTGAATCTGCAGGAGTGCAGGTATCCAGAAAGTGCATCTAGTAGAAGAGGGTGTAAACTTACATTGAACAGCACCTAGGCTGGACTAACGTTTTCTCAGAATTCTGTAGTGCATAAAACAATGTTAAAATTGCAATTTACTTACCTAAATAAGTTCCTACCAAGATTGGCAAAGGAAAAGGGAGAAAAAAAAGATTTAAAGTTAAAAAAGGAAAGAATAACGTGATTCAGAACACAACAGCCCAGCACCATGCAATAAAAGCAAAAAACCAAAACCAAACCAGTTTTTGATAGCAGCAGAGAAAAGCAATAAAGTCTCTAACAAATCTTTGATATTAGACTGATTATGGCAACACTAAATGGACAGTCATTTTCTTCAAACAGGAGATCAAAAATAGAACAGACTGGATTACCTACACATAAGAAAGTTGCTCACTTCCCTTGGCCACCCCTTGCTTTTCTAAAGGTAGCTTTCAAAGTGCTCTTTTCTGGAGATATTTACACTACACCAATTTGCTTCACAGCATACTTTAGAGCAGTAGCAGCCAGCCTTTTTAGCAGGTATGGCACAAATTAGCCCAGAACCCTCCACAAATACATTCTGATCCCCTTCCCCTACCCGATTTGCTGCTCTGCTTTCTGCTCCCTGCCCGATCCGTTGATCTGCTTTCTCCTCTCTGCCACACCTGCCACTGTGGTGCCTGCCCCCTCCCCATTCTGCTACATGCTACACACAAGCTATGTGTGCCACAGGTTGGCTACCCCTGCTTTAGAGCAATGTTCTGCTACCTTAACTCAGTGGTCATCAATCTTTTTTATCTTTTTAGGCTGCAGGTCACAGTAACCCAGTTTGGGTCAGAGGCAGGTAGGGCCTTCTTCCTGCCCCCATGACATCATGAGGAGAGTGCCCACACTCACCACTTCCCCTCCACCCCCGGGGAAAACAACTGCTGCCAAAGCCCACAGCCACCAAATGCTGCTGAACCTCTGTGTCTGCAGGCCAAATCAAATGACTCCAAGGGCTGATTACCAACTGCTGCTCTCTCTCATGCTAAGCAGCACCCTGCTCTACAAATAGATGCACTGCCCCCAGTGGGTTTCTTTGTGAAGTAAGATATTATTGTACACGAGTAAAAGATGTCATACTCAGGCTGTCTGTGATGAGAAATATTCACAGCGGTTCAGTAATATATTCACCTTTATCCCTTAAATGGCATCCTGGAATTCTGCTGAGCAGTGAGAGAAATTCACTTTACTGAATTACAGAAGCTGAAAGCAACTTGCTACTCCAAACTGGGAAAAGCAAACTTGTGAATAGAACTGCACACGCCACATACAAGTTTATGCTTCTCGTTCTCATCTTCAAGGCCACTCGCAGCTGCACCCCTCTACTCATTCGCTCATCTTACAGCATCCAATCTGCCTGTCCTGCTTTTGCCAATACCAGCCTGGGCATCCACTTGTCTTCTCTTCAAACAAACCTCTGTGCTTTGCTAATATCTGGGGTGTTCTTCCTGAACTGACCCATGGGACTGCCATCTTCTGCTCATCCAAATCTCTTTTCCAGACCCACTTGTCACGCAGTCAATAAAAGAGACCGACAAAATCGCAAAATCATAAAAGCAAGGTTAAGTGGAAAAGTTTCTCTTGACATGTACTCTACAAACTGTATAAATTTGGATTATCTCTATCTCATTTCTTTTGCTTCAGCTCAAAAGACTCTGGTTAACTTAGCAAACAGAATAGACCTCAGAGAGAGAAATTGTGTTTCTAAGCATGCAGCTCATAAGCAAAGATAATGTGCAGCCTTATTATCATGGGAGGCAGTGGAAGGAATTGTAAACAGTGCCTCATCATAGATTTCTCCAATTGTGCTGGTAGTAACAATAATTTATTACAGCCATTTAAAAAAGGGTATAGAACTTCCTCTCATGAAGCCAGCCAGCTCCACTGGCTCACGTATAGGTAAATGAGGCAATATCGTAGTTCTAACGTTTTCTCACAAGGAACAACTGAGCAGAGAATGATCTGGGATGAAGTCCCTGAATTCCCACAAGCACTTGGTCTGCTACTGCATTGTTCCCCATTCTCTCCTCTGCCTTTGCATGGCCTACCTAAGAGCAAGATAAAAATCTAGCCCTCCATGAGTCCCGTGTAAATTCTACTTCAGGTATAGAAGCCAACCGAGTTCATTTAAAACATAGCTAGGAAATAAATACATGAGATTTATCAAATGATTTTAGGACCAATCACAAACTAATTTCATAATTTGATATTTTACCAGCCACAGCACTAGAGTCCGGCATTGTTTTAATTAATAGCAAATCCACTGAAAAAAGGAGTTTCAAAAGGACTGAAACTATTTGCAAACTCAGGCAAAATCATGCAAACAGTTATACCCAAGGAAATGGGGGCAAAAAATTTTTTTAAGTGTCAAAACATTCTGTTTCAAAATGTGACTTTTCCTTTCAAAAGTGGCATCTTTGATTTAAAAAGAAAAAGTCTAAAGCTTAGGGGGCTGGGGAAGGTTTTAGAAAGGATTACCCAATCCAAAAAAAAAAAAAAAATCTATTCTGTTTGGGGTTGATTTAAATGTCAGGTTGACCCAAAATAGTTTTATTTTATTTTCTTCCTCCCTGTGTCCCAGACCCCAAACTAAAAATAAATAAAAACATACATTTCAGCCTGTCCTGAAAAAAGTATTTCACAATTTCTTTTTGTTTAGCCACAGAGGCAAAACATCCATCATTCACTCAGCCTTACCAGTTAGCTAGCCAGACCCTTCATGCACATGCTGCTTCAAGCAGCTTCATACAGGTTCATACAATCCAGGCGTGACTAAGTTAGTCCGTGTCACCAACGTATTACTGAAAAGTTACATTTTGAAAGATTTCCTTCAGCTCAGGACTGCAAATGAGAAGACAGAATTGCCAGTGGAATCCAATGTCAGGGACTACGTGTTTCCTGCTGCTATCTAAATAGCAAGAATTGCCGAGTAGTTTATTTTCCAAGTTGGGGAAAGTTGCCCTAAGAACAATGTCCTGTTCTATTCAACATCTGATTTATTTCTATACTTATCCTCCTTATCCTATACTTATCCTTGACCATGTTTGGTCAAGGGCCCTTCCTTTTACTTATCTTTGTTGCAACTCAGCCTTGGTCTGTAAATGCAGTTTGCTGATCTTCATTGACTGAAATGCAATGGAGAGAGGGTGCATGAGGGGAACTCAGAATGCTGACTTACTTTATACTTTTAAATTAGTCTCTCCCCCCCTTAATTTCAAGCTGTGCTCCATACAGCTGAAGTCTTTTTATTAGTTCTTACTACACTTTACTGCTCATTCACATAACCTTTTCAGATTATTCAAAAGCCCCTTCCATTCCAAAAGTCCCCACACCCCACAACTAATTTTCCAACCTCATATTTTGCCTTGCAAATTTTTGCCAGTACTGCATGTTTGCAGGGTTTCCAAGGTCTTAAATTTATCTACAGAATTATGCAGATGCATAATCACTGCCTGAGGCTGCTCTTTATTAGCATTCAGTGAGCCCAATCCTCCCATTTACAGAGATTAGGTCTAGCTATCACTTTCAAAAAACAGAATAGGAAGCTTACCTCCTCTGTCTTCAGTGAGCAATTACTTCTTACATTTCTTTCCTCAACATCTGTAAGCCTCCCCCATCCTCATATCTCTTTTTTAGTTACTGCAATCTCTTTGGATCTTCATTTTCAAGGAAGTCAAACCTAAATGATGTTTCCCATATAACTCATGTCATTTGCCAGAAATATTATTTAGCCCAAGGGGGGGAGGGTGCTGATTTTATTTATTTATTTATTTATTTATTTATTTAAAGTGTCAAAGGCCTTGAGTCACTTCCACTGAGATTTGAGATCAGGACTTTGATCAAAGATCCAGAGGTCTTTTTAATGATTTTTTTTTTTTTTTTTTTTTTTACTTCTCACTATGCTTCTGAGACCTACCATCTCCTTTTCCTGCCCAATGTCCAACTACTTTTCCACTTGTATGTCTAGTGTGAGACCACTTACAACTCAGACCTCCTGAAGGTGGAAGCATGTCACAACAAACACACAAAGGGTATACCAACAAGAACAATATCTGTATTAAGATACATGCTAACTTTGGAAAAAAAACAACATCCAGGAACCTGTCTCAGAGCAGGATGGATTTAAACAATACTGTGCAGATAACTGTTCTTGAATGACAACTTTTGCAAACCAACAGCAGCACTGACTGCCCCTCTACATGTATCTGGATCCGTAGCTTAGCAGAGTTACAAGGCCGCAACCTAACTCTCCATAAGATGTGGCAAAAAAGCCAGCTCAAAAAGGTTCATAGATTTTTAAAGCTATTAGGGACTCCTGAGATCTATGCTGATCTCCTGATAAACAGATGCTTTAAGACCTCCCTGAATTAATTCCACCTTACACCCAACAGAAGCTGTTTGGCTAGAGCATATCTATTACATCAACATCCAATCCTCTTTAAAAGTTTGCAGTGGGGGCCCCTGCTAAGTTGTTCCAATAGTTATATTTCTTGACTTAGAAGTCCACACCTTACTTCTAGTTTGAATCTTATCTACTTCAAATTCCAGACTTTGAACCTTGTTATATACTTTCTGAGAAATTGACAAGAATTGTTACCAGTTTCTATTCCCCACATCCAGGTACTTCTGGAACATGATCAAGTAACTTTCTCCTTGATAAGCTATCTAGATATCATTCCTTGAGCCTTTCAAGATTAGGAATGTTTTTCAATCCTTTAATTGTTCTTTTGGCTCTTCTCTGAACCCCTCCCCAATGTCTCAACATCCTTTTCGAAGTGTAGAAACAAAACTGGATGCAGTATTTCAGTAGTGACCAGACTAGTACCAAATGCAGAGGTAACAATAATCTCCATTCTCCTTTCTCTGCACTCTCCTGGGAATAGACAAATGTATACTTGCAGCAGCTTCAAAAAGGGAGGAGAAGATGCTGCTTGTCAAGAAAGTACAGCATCTGTTATGCCCTAACGGATCCATGTGCATGAGATTCAGTAAAAGAGCGAAACAGGCCCAGGTTTAACCCTGGATGAAGCAGGGTTAAAGCTAGAGTGGTTTCACTACTCTTTTACAGATACAAGTTCATGTAACCGCATC